AGGGTGCCAGTTTTTGCTGGCACTGCTCTCCTCTCACATCCACACTGTTCTTTTTAAGTTAAGCTACTGTTTCTGGAACCATAAGGGGATAATGGTGGAACTGTAAGTGTGAGTCCAAGTACTCTTTCCAAGTTATAGTTCAATGGTCTGGTTGAAATCTGGAATGGATGAGGTGGCAGGATACAATGTGTTTTCTATCTTCCATATGCCTACAATAGTCCCAATTATAAATTAGACCAAACGAGGTCAATTAACTCTGAAGTCCCTAGTTTCTAATTCAGTGATTTTGTTCTGACAATGCCATGTGAATAGGTGTAAGAGTGCATTATGAAATTTCTAACCTGGAAATGGTTAAATAATATTTCAGTGGCAACATAGATCCCCACAGAATGATCCTAAAGCTATGAATGATTTAATCTGTGAATGATTTAAATCAGCTTTTAGCCTCTAATGCCTATACAAAAGTATCGTATCAGGATTACAATTATGGAATTAGTATTTCTTCCAAAATTCCCAAATTATGTTCAGAAAGAAAATGCAGGTCTTAAAGAAACAGAAGACAACCAAACCATCTTTCTTCCCAACATACTCTAGCTTTCATGTGTTGGCGATAATCCTCACTTACTTGATGAAGAGAAGGTAGCTGTACCTTCATTCCAGAGGTCAGAGCGGTGACAACCAGCTCTGATGACTTAAAGCCATACCCTGTTTACTTGTAATACATTATGTATGTGTCTGTAATATGAAATACTATGAGAATAAATATATTTTGGGGAAAATAGAAAGAGTGGGAAGTAGAATTGGGGCAAGATATTTAAAGATTTTATTTTGTGAAAATGACAGCATTTCAAGTCACGTTAGCATATATGAACTTAGCTTATAACATAATACATAAGAAGGTTATTTATCATTTATTTGGATGTCATTTAAATAATATTTGCCATGTTACAATGTACTGTGTATCATTAAAGAAACTTACCTATTATCTTTGTAATTGCTTAACATATTTCTGTATTACTATATTCGAATCCTTTTGTTTTATCAAAATTTATCTAATAATTATTCATTACATATGGTCATTATTCTGTATGTTTTAGAACAGAAGATAGCAATCTATTTAAGGGTTGAAGCAAAGTTGCTTGCCTAGTAGCTATTTTTTTCCTCTTGGGAAATGCCATGTAGACTGATATCTTCCATGAGCCCCAAGACAAATATTTCTGGAGTGCAGTTTGCTGGATTTTCTTCTCTAGGGAATACATACTGACTTTTAAAAGAGTTTAAATAGGGGCGCCTGGGTGGCTCAGTTGTTAAGCATCTGCCTTCGGTTCAGGTCATGATCCCAGGGTCCTGGGATCGAACCCCGCATCGAGCCCTGCATCGGGCTCCCTGCTCTGCGAGAAGCCTGCTAATTCCTCTCCTACTCCCCCTGTTTGTGTTCCCTCTCTCGCTGTGTCAAATAAATAAATAAATAACCTTTAAAAAAATAAATAAAAAAATAAAAGAGTTTAAATAAAAAGTAGATTTAAACTTGACAAAAACATGGCAAGTTTAAAAGGATTCATTCCTCATTTAAAATGATCAAAGAAGAGATTTGGAAAAAATTCATTATCTCACAACCAATTTTACTTGTAAAATTAAATATTTAAAATTTTAAATGTTATTTATGTTGATTTAAATGTTTAAATATAATTTAAATGTTAAAAATAACATTTCAGAACATGCACGAAAACATTACGAATTGGGGGAGGGGCTTTCATAAAACTATTACTTCATCCAGGTAAGTTAGCAATGTGGCTTGATAGACTCCTGTCAGTGGACACAGTATTCAAGAAGCTCATGTAGGAAAGGAAAAATGAAGGGGGTGGGAATCGTAGGGGGAGACGAACCATGAGAGACTATGGACTCTGAGAAACAAACTGAGGGTTCTAGGGGTGGGGTGGGGGATGGGTTAGCCTGGTGATGGGTATTTGAGGAGGGCACATGTTGAATAGAACATTGGGTGTTATATGCAAACAGTGACTCATGGAACACTACATCAAAAGCCAATGATACAATGTATGGTGATTAACATAACATAATAAAATTTCAAAATAAAAGCTCATGCAATGTGAAGTCTCCCCTCCCTATGCTAAGCAAACTTACCTTTTTGTCAGTTGAACTGTTAGCTCAAGTTCACAATACAAACTGCTACACTATGACTTTCTTACTTCTTTATGTAAGAAGACTAGAAGACTTCATATTCTTTAAGGGAGCAAATAATCTGGTTTGACACTATACCTTTTTGAAGTGTTTGTGAGATTTGAGAGAGCTCATTATAGGATAATACAGTTGGCCCTTGAACAACACAGGTTTGAACTGCATGGGCCCACTTACACACATTTTTTTGGATAAATATAGTACAGTATTGTAAATATTTTCTTTTTGATTTATTAATATTTTTCTCTAGCTTTATTGTAATAATACAGTATAAAATACATATAAGGTGCAAAATATGTGTTAATCCACTGTTTATGTTATCAGTAAGGCTTCTAGTCAACAACTGGCTATCGGCAATGAAATTCAGGAGGAAGTCAAAGGTGATAGGCGGATTTTTGTGCGGGTGGGGGTGGGGTTGGCACCTCTAGCCTCTGCATTGTTCAAGGGTCAACCATATAAGCAAACTCCAGCTTTCAGTCCTAGGACTTTTCATCTATTTTTTGGCTTTATGTACCATCTATATGTTGGTGACTGCTGAATGCAGGTGTCCATCCTGGACCTTTACCCTGTGCTCCAAAGTCATGAATGCAATTTAACATCTCCACTTGGATGTCTAGCAAGTATCTCAACTGTAGAATATCTCAGACCCATCTCCTGTTCTTTCATCCCTAACTGTGCTTTCTTACACTCCTGCCCATCTCAGTTAACAGCAACTTCGATCTTCCAGTTCCTCAGGGGAAAACCTCAGGATCATCTCTCACCCCTCTCTTTGTTTCACACCCTAATTCAGAACTTTCAGCAAATGCTGTTGGTTCTGCCTTCAAAACATGTACTGAGTCTGATCACTTTTCACATTTCCACTGCCACCATTGTCATCTTTAGCCTGGACTATTGCAGTGGCCTTTGCCTTCATTTGCTAGGGCTTCCCTAAAAAAGTACCACAGACTGGGTGCCTTAAACAACAGAAATGTATCTTCTCACAATTATGGAGGCTAGAAATCTGAGATCAAGGTGTTGGTAGAGTTATTTTTATCGGAGGCCTCTCTTCTTGGTTTATGGATGATCTTTTCTCTTCACATAGTCTTCCTCTGTATATGTACACATCTGTGTCCTAATTTCCTCTTCGTATAGAGACACCAGTCATATTGAATGAGGGCCCATCCTAATAATCTCACGTTAGCCTTATTTCCTCTGTTTCCAAATACAGTCACATTTCAAAGTACTGGTGGTTAGGACTTCAACATATGAATCTGGGGGAATATAACTCAGTTCATAATAGCCTTCTTTTTTTTTTTTTTAAAGATTTTATTTATTTATTTTAGAGAGAGAGAATGAGAGATAGAGAGCACGAGAGGGAAGAGGGTCAGAGCGAGAAGCAGACCCCCGCTGAGCAGGGAGCCCGATGCGGGACTCGATCCCGGGACTCCAGGATCATGACCTGAGCCGAAGGCAGTAGCTTAACCAACTGAGCCACCCAGGCGCCCAGTAGCCTTCTTTTTTAAAAAAGTTTTTTTAAGATTTTATTTATTTATTTGAGAGAGAGCGCATGAGCACGGGGAGGGGCAGAGAGAGAGGGATAAGCAAATTCCCCGCTGAGCAGGGAGCCAGATGTGGGGCTCTATCCCAGGACCCCAGGATCATGACCTGAGCTGAAGGCAGATGCTTAATCGACTGACCAACCCAGATGCCCTTAAAAAAAAATTCTTTAAAGCTTTTATTTTTAAGTAATCTCTCCACCCAAAATGGAGCTCAAACCCACAACCCTGAGATCAAGAGTTGCACGTTCCACTGACTGAGCCAGCCACGTGCCCCTATAACAGCCTTCTAATTGGTCTTCTCGCTTTCATTCTTGTCCCTCAATAGTCTATCCTTTATATAACAGCAAGAATCTCAGTTTGGAACTTTCTGATGGTTTTTCCAGCCCTTTCAGAGGGAAAGACAAAGACCCTACAGTTGCTCATCGGACCTACACTCTCTATCCCCCACCCCCCGACATCATCTCCTATCCATCTCCCTGCACCCCGCTCACTCCTTGTAGCTTCACCGCCTATTTGTACTTCACTGCCTGGAGTACAACACGCATGTGCACACCCTAGAGTCTTTGCAATGGTCTTCCATCTAGGATGCTCTTCTAATTTTCTCATGCTCAGATGACACTTTTATGCTCAGAAGCCATCCCTGATGAGACTGTTTAAAATTGCATCCCAACTCCCTTTCCCTGCTTTATTTTTCTCTGTAGCATTTAGCCCATTCTGTTATACCTTACATTTTATTTATTTTCTCTATTGGCTATCACCTGCAATAGAATATAAAGTTCTAGCTAAGGTTATCAGAGCAGGGATTTTGTTTGTTTTGTTCATCTTGTGCTGGAACAGTACCAGGCTTATAGTAGGTGCTCAGTAATTATTTGTTGAATGAAACCACATTGACCGTGACATAGACTCTCCATCATTAAGTATTCTCCCAGACGAAGCCCCTATCAGGATAAAATGCCAGAAAATTTGAAACACATATTATGAAAGGTCTGAGGAAAAAACACAATAGCTAGGGTAGGGAAGCTTTGTAAAGACCTCCTGGTTATTAAAACAAAACCCAAAAAACCAAACCCACATAAGAAGGCAGCCCAATGGTGGAGGGGGCTTATGTGGGCTATGAAGTAGAAAGTTTGCCGAGTAACCAGTTAAGCTAACCTTCACGTCCTTTTCCATTTGCTCTTTGGAAAAGATAAGAGTATTCATTTTTACATATTGATTTAGATACCTTGTTTCTTAATAGTTCACTCACAAGTTGCTGCTTTCTTGTAGGTCACCTGGTTCCTTCCAGGGCACACGATGTCTCTGCCCTTTTATCAGAAGCTCCATCAGCACTATGACAGCAGCTACCGAAACAGGGACCTTCGCAGCACCATGAGCCAGTACCAACAGGAGAAAAAAAGTTCTGCCATCTACACCCATGGCTCCACGGCCTACAGCAGCCGCTCCGCCACCGCGCACCGCCAGGAATCCAAGGCCTTCAGCCAGGCGTCCATGGGCTCCTACCAGCAGCAGGCCTCCCGGGCGACTGAATCTACCCATGCATTCGCAGCCAGTCGGAAGACAGCCTCGGCCTATGATTATGGCTACTCCCACGGGTATGTCAGAAGCAGCCTTCCAACCTTAGCTCAAAGGCACACTCTCTGAATAACCCTCCTACATCATGTTTTCCCTTCTTTCGGTCTGGCAGCCCTACATTTATTTATTTATTTATTTGTCTGTTAAAGATTTGCTTTATTAATACAAAACATACACACAAACTACTGAGTGCTAAGAAATTTAAATATCTAAGTCATAGCAAACAGGTGGCAATTCAACATCCAGGGTCAACAGAATGCTTTGAGGCTGCAACAGATTTGACTCCCATGGTGGAGAGGGCATCTTCAGAGGTGAAGGGGGGCCCAGGTGCAAGAGCTTCTCGAGTTCCCTCTCCTCATCAAGGATCATGAGAGGCACTCCACTCAAGGGGAGGCGTGCAATCTGGTGCTCTTCAGGCAGGTCAAAACTCTCAAAATCTAAGGGATTGAAGGGAAAGAATTTTTCTGTTTCTGGATAGGTGTCATCCGAGGCAGGAACAGAGCTTTTTGCTTTGATAGTCTTCTCAGTCACCTTTTAGGCAGAGAAGGTCGGCTGCTTCTGTTTGAGAGATCCATTAGTCTTTACTGAGTTTTCTGTGGCTCTGTTGACAGTTCCCAAAGCCTTTCTGGCAACTTTAGGTAAGGCTGCTTGAGCATCAAACATTTTGCCTACACGTGGTGTTGAAACCTGAGATCTCCCATCTAAAGCTTTTACTGGAGGCCTAGACCCTGGCTTCAGCCTATCCTTGGGAGCCACACGGGTGCCTGGTTCTCCATTTTCCTTATCAACAAAGATCACGGTAGCCATTCTGGACTAGCTCCCTCCTCGCGGGACCTGCATGCCCAGCCACTCTCGACCTCATGGTCCCTGGCAGCCCTACATTTAAATCAGATTTGGAGAGGGGCGCCTGAGTGGCTCAGTCGTTAAGCATCTGACTCTTGGTTTTGGCTCAGGTCATGATCTCAGGATCTTGAGATCAAGCCTCGTATAGGGCTCTGTGCTCAGCACAGAGTCTGCTTGTCCCTCTTCCTCTGCTTCTCCCCCCACTCTCTCTCTCTTTCTCTGAAATAAATAAATAAAATCTTTTAAAAAAACAAATCAGCTGTGGAGTGAGGACACATATTTGGGAGACCTGGGACTTACGTGTACCTGTTTCCCTTTACCGTTTGTGTTTCACAGAGAGCTTCATAATCACACTGGCGTGTCTTGCTTGCATTGCCAGCTGTGATATTGCTAGAAGCAGAGAAGTTTTGCCATAGATTGAGTTCAACATTCAGTAGCAGCAGAGCCAGAAAACATCATTTCAACGCTCACAGCAGGTTTCCTGGTCCTCAGAATGTTTCTACTTAGATGAGAAGCCAGTATAGAATTTAAAATTCACAGGTCACAGGCGCCCAAACTACAGCAGAGATGCGTTCTACTTTTTCGGTATCTGAGAGCCAGTATTAGAATTCTGAGCCATTGTTCAGGTAGGCAGCAGATATTTTTTTTAGCTAGAGCATTTTATACAACCAGGCCCCTATCTCAGTCAGCCTAAGACTACCAGAAACAAACCTGTATTCTGATAAAAGTAGATTTATCAACCCATTGCATTGAGGGAGACCACAGAGCAGAGGAAAAGAGAGAGTTACTATATTAGAATTCTAGGAAGAGTGGAGTTTACATGCAGGTCTGGTCTGCAAAGCAAACCCAGCGTCCTGTTTCTATTGGAAACAGTGAAGTTGAGGACTGTTGTATCCAGAAGCCCTTTATGTGGAGCTCAGCACCTGAGTTGGGAACTGAGGCTGCTTCTCTGTCAATAGCAAGTGGGGTCATCCAGTCAATGTCTCATTCTTACTGATAAAATTTCAAACAGCAACCTTACTAATAATCTTTGATATTAGAGAAGAAAGTTTCTCAGTGAGTCTGTAGTCACTCGGAGAAGGTAACCACAGCCCTTTTTAGCAGCAGTGTCCCTGAGAGAAATGTTTTCTGTGAACTTTGCAGTTGGCTTCTGTGTCTGTAGTTCCAGCCTGATGAATGCTGGGCAGATGCTTACTTTCTCAGCCCAAGTCGGTTTTTTTTTTCTCGATATCCTGAATGAAATGTTTCATTGGGATTAAAAAACACTTGTAAGATTCATGTGATTTTATTAAAAATCTATCTATAGTCCACAGAAGGAATTGCTGAACTTGCAAATGTAAACATTTCTGGGATATATGGTAAATAACCACCTGCTGCCTCAAGTCCACCTCTCCAAAGCATCTGGCATAGATTGCATTTTTTTAGTTATCAACATAATATAATTTTAAGTCTTACAAAATTTAAGTCCACAAAATATCCGTTAGGACAACTAGAAAAGTGTTTCTTTCTGGGAGTTAAAGAAGTTATTGAGGAAATAATGCAGTGGATTGTATGACTAGAAGTGAGGCTAGTTTCTGAAGGCATAAATTCCTGAATCCCCGTTGGGTTTAAGCAGCACCTGATCTATGGCTGTTGTTTCTTGGGCACTGACAGGGACCTCCTGGGAGCTTCTGCTCTGTTTAGTAACAGAGCCAGAGTCCGCTGGGGTTTGCCTGGAATGTCTGATGGCCACGTTATGAAATTCCATTTAAAATGGAACAGGATCATTTTGCAATCTCACTTTCATGGGATATTCAGCAGGACTTGGTGTTGGCTGTAAAGATGGAAATATGGTCACTAAGGTGAATTCATTTCTTTTAGCACTTGCTTTAAATGAACTGCTTCCAAAGGAAAGTTGAGAGGAATTAACACCATGTGTATGGGACAGCATCATTTTGTTCTGAAGAATGTTCCATAGAACATTAAGAACCTCGTTTAGGAAAGCAGCTGTCTTTTAATAGAGGAGGATTACATTTTAAATATCCATTTTCATGGACTGTCTGTGCTGAGTCTATAGAAGATGTTGCTAATGTAACTGCTTGTGGATTTATTTCGTTTCCCCAAGGCAATACAATCTACAAGTTTTATGAATTTGTATTTAAAGAGATCTTTACTTCTTCAACTCTATTGCTAAATTTTATGTTAAATTATTTTAATTTTAAACAAAATATCCTTTTAACCACATGTGTAATATTCATATTTATTTATAATGGGATATATTATATTAAACATTAGTAATTAAACCTTTGAGCACTTTTATATTTTGTTCAAAAAAAACATTTGCTCTGTGTTATCTTTGGAAGACTTAGCCATGTCAGCTTTAAAAAGCCTCACATAGTAAAGTTTCTATAGGAAATGGAACTGTAATCATTTTTCTATACTCAACTTCACATTGTGTTCTTTCCTGCAATGTCTATATTTATGTAGATAGGTAGGTAGGTAGCTATTCATTAATGGCTTAATGTTTGAAGAATTCAAACTTCTTGGTAGAAACATGTTGACCTAGAAATGTTGACCTAGAAACAAGAGAGGGAAGAAAACACCAATATTTTTTCCTTTGTGTAATACAATGTAAAAGAAAAGAAAGTCAACCTAATCCTAGGGTTATTTTAGTTTTTCTTTTTTTAGACCTAGAGCTAACAGGTTCAGATAGTATTCTTTGAACATTTCAAAATCTTCATAATTCCTTTAGGTTGTGTTTTTGCTCTCTCAAAATGGAATAACTTTTCCCTGCTAAATGAACTATCTCTCTTTGGATTATGAAAAGTGTTGATTAAAACCCCTAGGTTTAGAAATGCAGTTCCATGGAATGTATGTAAACACTAGGCTTGATCTATTTTTAGCCTGTGCTTTGTAGTTAGATGTCCAGTAGTAAAGTGGAAACTATGGAGATTTATATGTGCTCAAGGCTTGGCTGACCTCAGTAGGTCTTAGGAACAATGGCCCGTTCAACATCAATGTGGTTGTAAGCAGAGATCAGTTACCAATTGAATTCTGAGCCCAGGGTTATAAAATAAATCCTGGAAGACATATTCTAAATGCCTTTATTCTTAGTCACAGTGAGAAAAAAAAACCCTAAAGTAATTCAGGAAGACAAAAATGACACAAGATTATTGTTTTATGTTAGTAATCCACAAATACTATCAGAGATTAAAGGAGAAATGGTACTCATAACTACCAATAGGCAATGGTTCTTAACTTCTATCCGTGAATGGAGGGTCTTAGGTGATCTGAAATTATGTGCAAAATTAAGCACAGTTGAGAATTTGTTTTTGCTGAGAAAGATGGTAGCTTTCACCAGATTCTCAGAGAACCCTGTGACTCAACAAAGGTCTGAACCACTACCCTGGAAAGTCAACATATAAACATCAGACAACCCCATGTGTGGCCTGAGGATCCCTTTCTTAATGCCAATATTATACAAAGTTAGGATGAAATAAGGCAGATGTTTACAGGGAGTGTGGTATTATGAGAATCAGGGTTCCTTTGTTTCTTTTGAGTAGGCTGGATCATACATTAAATTGGAAATAAGTGAAATATTTTGTTACACTTGATAGGAATGAATAACTTTCAAAAAGCAGAGACAACACAGCATAGTTCTTAGATGATGGAGGGATGTAGAGTTGTCCCTCCACCCTTTGTAGAAATGGTAGATATTTAATTGCTTGATTCTAAACAGATTGACATTCAACCCATATGATGCAACTCAGCACAGCATCCTCTGTACCATTGTATCCTTACAATAACCCTGAGAGGTCGAAATTATATCCCCATTTTAAAAATGAGAAAATCAGAGACCAAATTGATTAAATAACTTTTCTCTCTTGCACTAAGAAGTGGTAGAATGATGATTTGAACCCCCATCCTACCCAAGCCCTCCACTCTTTTCATGGGTACCCAGTGACAGTTATAATCAACTAACTCCCCTTGACCTCCTGGCCGCCAGATTTTTCTTGAAGCATCAATATATAGTTTTTCATTATATTTCCTTTTATTTGCCATTCTTCTGGAGAAGCCATAGAACACCAGAATAACTAAGATTCAGAGTAGGGAACGGGCAATCCTAGGAGCATTCATGAATGCCAAACCTGGAACCTCACAGACTGTTTAACTTGTCACTTAGAATCAGACATAGTGA